TAAATATTATTTATTTGATTCTTATAGGACAAATAATTCATGAGATTGTCCAACAGAATTTAAGGCTTTTTTAATTATTTTTTGGTTAAAAAGAAAAAGAAAAAAGAAATGACGGAACATAAATGTTACAATATAACAATTTATATGACTGGAATAAATCCTCAGAGTGTATTCCATAATTTTCATTGATCAAAAAAAAATGAGTTTTGAGAAAAATCAAACGGATAATCTAACATAATATTGAATATTGTTTTAACAAAATAAAATCAAAAAAAACAGTATATTGAAGACAATATTAAAATCCTTTAGATAATTGAACATTTCGTCAGAAAATTGTAAGGAAAGATGAAAATGATTTTGAAATTAAAAAAATTAGTATCAGATTGAATAACAAGAATAGACAATTCAAGATTATATATATATATATATATATATATATCGCATTTCATGTATAACAAAAAAGGTTAACAGAAACAAAAATCTTTTTTGTTATGAAATTTAAATTTATAGGTAAAACAAAAATTTACGAAGATATGATGTTTTCAAAAGTTTTTTTAATACGGAATGATGTTTTTTTCATTTTCACAAATTTTGAATGAAATTTAAATGGAATTCTTTATAATTTTGGAAAATTTGGAAATCAATGAAAATATATCTCCAAAAAAATTTGAATTTTTCAAAAATATAAACTTTTAAATTATTTTTCAGAAAAGAATTTTTGAAAAGATTAAAATTTTTTAATTAACATAAAAATAAGAAAATAATTTTTGTATTTTCTTTTTTAGAAATAAATTTTTACAGAAAAGGATTCGACTTACATTCTATTCATTGTAAGCGTTTGATCATTTGGACAATTTTGCAAAATTTTAAGAAAATAATACATATAATATTCAAACCTACATCATAAAAATTTGTCAATTTCTTTTTCAAAACTGGATTTTAAAATCTTTTATTAAAAATAAATATTAAAATATATGAATGCAAGTTAAAAAAATATTAATAATTCTAAAATTTGTTAATCAAAATTAACATTTATCTGTTGATGAGAAAAATTTCCAATGTCTGGAGTTTAAAAATATTGAAAAGTCAAATTAAAAATTGAACCAAAATTTATATAAAAAAGCTTTTTTTTTTTTTTTTTGACCTATTTTATACATTTTTGAGATTACATTTTAATATTCTTGTTAAAAAAAAAAAAATATCAAATTTTTTATTAGTATAAAAAACAAAAGCCTTTTAATAAAATTTAAAATTACGCTCCCTGGAATATAATAACTTCTTTTTGCTTGCATTTATGGCTATAAAATCAATTTTTCATTTAAAAAAATTCTGTTAATTCCTTCGGAAATTATAAACAAATCTTAGTTAGACAAATTTTGTTTTTTTCTTGAGATTTATATATATTTCATAATAAAATCAATTCGGAAATTTATAATAAATTATGTAAATAAAAAATTTGTGAAAATTGAAAAAAACCCTAATTTATTAAAAAATAAAAATATAAATATGGTTATTTCCTTGTTTAAGTGGAAAAAATAAATTTTAATCAAATGCATAAATAATTAAATAAAGAATAAGCTGAAATTAAAAAAAGTAATTTTTTTTGGAAAAAAGAGATAGGAAGAAAAAACAAATGGATTGTAAGCAAAAGAAAATGTAAAAAAGAAAAGATAAATAGAATTTATTTAGGATTATAATTGTTCTTTTCAAAATAAATAAAATTACAGAAGACAAAAAAATTAAAAATCAAAAATTTAATTATCAAATAGCAATTAAACAAATTTCGTATTTTAAGTGAAATAATTAATTTATGATACAATTTAAAAGATCTTTTTTTACAAAAAATATGCTGTTTTTTGAGATGGATATTTTATTTTGGAATCCAAAATTTTTTTATTTTTAAAAAACATCAGTTTTATTTGACCAAGTTTTAAAAATTGTTTTATTTTTTAAATAACCAATTATGTTGAAATGATGGACGAAGTTTTATAAAATAATATAAAAGAATGAAATATTCCTGATACTAATCTAATGAAAATTAATTTTTTCAGAAGAATTAGAATCAAGTTTAATTTTAACATTAGTAAAAGAGAGAACAAGAGAATTTTTAAAAGAAATATCAAATATTTTCAATTTTTAATTAATTTATGGTTTTTATAAAGTTTACAATTACCATAAACGGAATCTGTATTAACTTAATTATTTAAAATTCTTTGAGTTTGGAAATTTGACTTGAAAAAAAATCTTAAATTTCCCATATAAGAAGTTGGAAATCAAATTTATTCCTATAAAAGGTCTTTTATAAAAATTATAACATTTTTTATAATGTTTAAAATATTTCCATGTATTATTCAATATAAAAAATATATATACTAATATAAATAAAGGGTTATGATCCTAATGTACCACGGTGATAGTCCAAGGTAGAACCAATAAAGAAGAACTCGAACACAGGTATGGAATAACACAGATATATTACAAACAGGAATATATACAGAGAAGTAGAAAGTGTTAGTATGAACAATCAGGTTTAGTAGAAAGAACAATGTAGTCTCGACCAGTATCACTATTCCAATGTCTTGCAGTAATTGTCTGAACGCGACTCTGTTTCGGACTGCCTCTCTGACTCGACTCTTGACTCGACTTGAACTACTCACTATTGTTATGGTCCGGTTCCCTGTACCACGGTGATAGTCCAAGGTAGAACCAATAAAGAAGAACTCGAACACAGGTATGGAATAACACAGATATATTACAAACAGGAATATATACAGAGAAGTAGAATGTGTTAGTACGAACAATCAGGTTTAGTAGAGAGAACAATGTAGTCTCGACCAGTATCACTATTCCAATGTCTTGCAGTAATTGTCTGAAACGACTCTGTTTCGGACTGCCTCTGACTCGACTCGACTCGACTCTGAACTTGAACAACTGACTGACGATATTCAGTCACCCCTGAACCCACTGGGGCATCATGTGACACAAGGCCGGTTTTTAACGTGGGATCTCCGAGCCCGTGGGCTCTCGGCCCAAAAATATGCCCATTGAACCCGTATAAACGGGTTCAGGGTCGGTTTACCTCCCGAAAGAGACTCCGCCCTTCGGCGTAGCCTCGTTCGGGTTCCTCTCCGCCCGCAGGCAGAGAGTTCAACCGAACAGTCGGTTCAGAAGTAAACGACAGACTCCTTGCCTACTCCTGAGGCGCAGTATTTATTAAGTATGGAATAGTCCATTATTATTATTATGGGTAAGATCCAATAACAATAAGTCTTATATGTAAAGACAAGACGTTAATATATATCTTAGATATAAAGGCAAGAAGACGTAAATAAAAGTCTTAGATATAAAGACAAGACGTTAGTATACGTCTTATATATAAAAACAGAAAAACATTTGATTATTATCTTAGATATTTTGTTTTGGATCAATTTTGTTAATAGTTTACAATAATTTTATACATAAAGACAAGACGATAATAAACGCCTTAGATATAAAGACAGAAAAATGTTCATATGCGTCTTAGATATAAAAATAAAGTTGATAATATAGATCTTATAAATAAAGACAAAAAGACGTTAATAAACGTCTTATATATAAAGACAAGACGTTAATATACGTCTTAGACATAAAGACAAGTTGTTAATATACGTCTTAGATATATTCATATTTACGTTAATAAATTTGTTAGATATGAAAGACAGAATTTATTTGTAAATTTCTGTTCTTATAAAAAGAAAATGTTTTGGTTAAATTACGTCTTATATATGAAGACAAAAAAGATGTTAAACGTCTTAGATATAAAAACAATGTGTTAATATATCCCGGACAAAAAGTTGCATGTATTCCTTCAATTTAACCAAAAATAAAATAATTTCCATGCGAAGACGACTAATGAACAGTCTATGAAATATTATTGTATTAAAGAAAATAATTTATACATCTTATATTTATCTAAAAAAAAAAAGTATCATAACAATTCATCGAGTGATTAGTAGGACCTTTAAAATTTTATTATCTTCTGATTTCGCCATTTTATATAATTAACTTTACTAATTTAGATATTTTTTGTATGAATGATTCATTTAAAATATATATATATATATATATATATATATATATATATATATATATATATATATATATAATTAAATGAAAATTAATGTTGTTCGAATTTAAGAGTTAAAATATTAGTTCTTTAAATTGTTGGTTTTATTTAAGTACCGAAATCAGTTTGATTTACTCAATACTTTGAAGCATAAAATGAAAACATAGGACTTTCAAATCTAGGGGAACTCCATCAAGTTAATGGAAAAGAGAAAAACATGATTCTAATATAAAAAATTGAAACAGAGGAGGCACGACCAAAATAATGGATAGATTTAGCTAGGATTGTTGAATCCGTGACCAGTCGAATGTTGCATATTTTACGGACATAAATCCCCTTGGGAAAGCACATAAAGAAATTTATATACATACATACATACATACATATACATACATACATACATAAACATACATACATACATACATATATATATATATATATATATATATATATATATATATATATATATATTAATAAGTTAATTAATTCTCTTTTTGCCACTTTTAAAATTTTGTCCAGTCTTAAATTTTTCTTTTTAGCCAACTTTTACTGCAGACGCTCGATCGGGCACATTTGTGTTTTTTCTTTGAGACCACGGAGCCAACTTATGGTTTATACTGCAACTATAATTGAGCAGACCTTAGTTACAGTTTATTTTTTAGAGCGTGTTACCTAGAATGATCAACAATTTATTTTCTTAGGTCAATACGGAAACCCCTCGATTTACGATGACTAGGAATTTTGTGCCTTGAACAGCTATCGACAGCCCCAAGTGTTTATATTTCCAATTTCATTCACAAGGCTTGGGTCAACCTGTCTCATGGTTTTTCAGTTCTTTCCAAAGGTTCGTACGCTGGGATATCTCCCCTCCAGTTTTTAACATCAGGATTTATCAATGCATTTGCAGAACAAACATCTATCTATCTATCTTTCTGTCAGAATCTATCTATCTAATCTTTCTAAATTTAGCGTAATTATGTGATGTGGTCCCAAAGTCAGGAACCATTTTCTTTCTTTCTTTCTCGGAACACGGATTTCTTTAAGAAGAAAGATATATTAAACAAAAAGTTTCAAAGATAGTGTTTTTTAATCTTTGAAGAATGTAAAAAGAAAATCCAAATATTAGTAGTCGTACGCGGCTGATTTTATATATTAGAATTCTAGAGGAAAGGATCTTATTCTCTCTCTTCTCTTCTTCTTTTAATCTTAGAAAAATTAGTCTTTTTATTTTATATAGTCCTGGAAGAGTTTAGCCTAAATGTTTGTAGGTATGTTACGGTCTCACAATATATGTATATCTAATATATATATTTATCTATTTATCTATTTTCCTATTTTCTCTCTCTGAGACTGTTCATCTATCTATCTATCTATCTATCTATCCTACTATCTATCTAAGGCTAATTTTTTTATATATGTAATATATATTTATCTATTTATCTATCTCAAAATCTATATTCAACTGTTGAGACTACATTTTATCTATCTATCTATCTATCTATCTATCTATCTATCTAATGCTGTTCATTATGTATATATGTATGGATTTATCTAAGACTGCTCATTATCTAAAACTGTTTATCTATCTATCTATCTATAAATTCTGTGACTTTGTTATATCGTAATTTTATTAAAAATATTTTGTATCACGCCCTTTAAAATAGCCATACATTGATTGATCGAAACCAAATTTTGGTGCAATTAGGTAAGTTGGTGAGGGGTACAAAGTACAGTTGTTTTTATTAAAGCGCGTAATGAAATTTTTTAAAAAATCGATAGATTTGCGAAATTGAACGAAACGCAAAGTTTGCAAATCTTGACAAAAAATGCAGTGCAGAAAAAACATCAGAAAACGTAGTTTTAAATATTAAAAAAATGTATGTATATATGTTTCTGTGTTTGTATGGGTCATGTGATGCCCGGATGAACATTTCTTGAGGAATCTGTTCGGCGTAATCTTTTTCAAATTGTATTTACTTCTAAAATCCCTTTTTCAAAAATTGCTAGAATGTTTAGTTAGTCTCAGGAATCAAACATTGAAGAAGAAAACATCAGTTAAAAAAGAATGACATTTTTTGTATCGATTTCCAATTCCGAAATAAAACTTATATCATTTTTTTACTATTTTACTTAAATAGGAATATTTCATTGTAATATAAATTGAACTGCAACCAAATTTGGAAAAAAGAACTGATATTTGAAAAATTGCAAATTTTCGGAGATAACGTTTGAGAAAATTACTCTATTTATATTTCAATTTAGTTCGAATGCTACATTGACTGATAAACTCCTAGAAATATAAAAAATCTTCTCAATTATATAATGAAAAAAAAAAAAAAATGCAATATCTTAAATTTAAAAAAAATTCAACGTTAGCGTTGCGACTTCAAAGGTAAAAAAAAGTAAGGATATGATAACAATAAAAAACAAAAAAAAAAATTTTCGATTCGTATTATATTTTTTCGTCTCTTGAAATACCTGAAATTTTACCATTAAAAAAATGAATTCCATGCCTGAAGATGACATAATTTTACAGTAAAAAATACTTGCGTAATAAAATTATTTAATATACATTTTAAGTTAAAAAAAAAAAAAACAAGGATCATAACATTCATTCATCGAGTGATTTGTGAGGTTAATACACCTTTAAAATTTTGTTATTTTATCTAATTTTATTTTTGTCATTAATTTACTAATATATTTTTTGTAGGAATGATTCCTAAGTTATATATTTTATTATTTTAAAACAAAATATAAATATATTTCAAAAAGTAAAAATTAATTTTAGAATATATATTTTTTTTCGAATGGAAACCTATAGTCTGATTTTTTTTTTATTATTATTATTTTCTTTGGAATTTTTATCAAACAAATTTACATGTAAGTTTGTCAATAATAAGATTTTAAATAACATTTTTTTAGAACTCCATATGCTTTCCAATCTTTTTTGTTCCTCAATTAGGTTTTGTTTTTTAGTTCTTTTATTCTATATATTAATTTTCTTATAAAATCTTTATTGAATAATTTATACTATAGTTACTTTACCAACAACATTGCACGATATAAATTTGCAATAAAGTTTCATCTCGTCTTTATCAATCTAATGCGCCGAATTCAAAAGCGACGGAAGAATAAATTGGAAATTTTTTTATTTAAAAAAAAAATGTAACTATATTGTTCTTTTTTTTTGTGAATTTTGTTTTTGTGTATGTATATTGTGTGTTTTTTTTTTTTCTTTTTTTTTGTATTTTTTTTTTTTTTTTTTTTATTTTTTTTTTTGTAAAATTTTTATTTATAAAGATGTTTTCGTTATATATAATTTAGAAATTCATATTTGTTGCATAGTTTATTCAATGATATAAATATAATGTCACAAAAAAGAAAAGTATTTTATATATTTATATCATAAATATATATATATATAAATCCATTCATAAAAATAATGATAAGGATAAACAGACGTTTTCAAAAAAACATGAAAGCAGATAGCCAAGAAAAATGAAAAACACAATTTTAAACAAAAAGAACATTACAATCTAAAACAGTTTTTAATGTAAAGGAACATGTCAGACAATATAAAAAGACGAAAATATGTCGAAGGGGAAAAAACAATATTTCGTAAAATCTGGGAAACTTAAATTAATAAAAGATTCAAAAAGAAAAGGGAGAACGAGCCTACGACAATAAATAATGAAAAAAAAAAAACTCGAATTTTACATGCTACAATTTAATGCTTGGTTTAGTGGATAAATACTATTTTAATTTAGGGCTTGTTCAACAATTAAAGTTGTGCATGATAAAATGAAGGAAAAATAAAATAATCAATTTGACATTAATTCAGGACCTAGAAAATGCTGTTGTTAGTTGATTTTTGTTTGATAAATTTTATCAACACCTTTATGGGTTATTAATGCCGAAATCTAAATATTTTGAACGAAATTGTAATCCTTCAGCAAAGAAAAAATAAAATTCATTGTTCTTAATTCTACTATAAATATAGAGTTGATATATGGCACAGTGGTTAAATTTTTTGGTTAGATCCTAAAACAGGACCCAAATCAAATGAGTTCAAAAAAAAGGCATGGAAACTTTCAGAGGGAAAGAAAATTATATTGGAGATAATAAACAAACATTAAATATGGAACTAAAACAGTCTACCCCAGAATATTGAAAATAAAGGGTTCAGTTCGATATTTGAACCACCTGAAGAAAGGTCAGAGCGTACAACGGCGAAACGTTGTAATAAATATGGCGACAAAAGATGATTCATAGTCCGAATAATTTAAATAATGTACATAAACCTCTCATCTCAGAAATATAGAAAGTCTATTTTTTTTATATAAAATGTAAAAATATTTAGTTTTACTGTTTTTTTTTTCTTGTTGGCAATATTCAGTCTATTTGCCCATGCTGATATTTAAAACAGGGGCTACCAAACAACTATTATCCTCATTAAGGTTGAACATGGAACAACAGCATTTAAGAGGTGGTTCTCCCTATCAGCGGCCTTGCTGCCGGATATAGTTTATCGTCATACCCAGAATTGATACTTCGTCAAAGTTGCCTGTCAATGCGGACAAAAACATTTAAGAGGAGGTTCCACGCACCTCAAAAACTCCAATCATCCAACCAATTTATTTGCTGCCGGATATACACAAGTGTCATACAATAAGTTGAAATTTTGTCAAAAAATTGCCTGCCAATCCAAACAAAACAACTAAGAGGTGATTCCACGCTTTTCAAAACATCCAAAATTCCGATCAGACAATTTGATACCATCTACGTAATTATATCGTCATACCCAGGACAGAAATTACGTCAAATGGCCTGCCAATGAGGACAACAGCAATTAATTTTCTAATTTCTGAAACAATTTAAAGATAAATATAGCATCAAAACAATTGATGAAATATCTTAATGAAGATGTTTTTCTTTTATCAAAGCACCTGAAAACCTAAAATCTTCCGATCAAGCCTTGCTAATTAGATTCAGTTTATCGTCATATGTCAGGACTGAAACAGCGTCAAAGTGGCCTACCAATGCAAAAATCAACAATTAAGGGGTGATTCCATACTCTTCAAAACCTTCAATCTGATTCAGAATTCTCAAAAGGGATTTTTGCATCAGGCAATTGTGGAACTGGGAAAAGTGCCGAAAAAACCATACCAGGTTATGACCTAATCCTGTTTTGAAATTTAGACGGAACACCTGGGGATTTGAGACATTTTTTGCTAGAATCAAAGGAACAATTTATGTCAATGTGACAGAGGGTTTTTTTTATGAATGGTCTTAATTAAAATTTTTGATCACTTTTAGATATTAACCTCTCATGCAAACTTCAATTTGGTTAAATTAAATTGCAGGCATTCTCTGTGGACTTTAAATTTGGAGCAAACACAAATGCTGCCTGAGAATGGCTACTGAATTTGGGATAAACAGGGGCCCTAAATAAATGTTTATCCACAAAATACGTCTACAATCATAATTATTTATCTATATATAATTGTGTATTTGGTACTTTTTTTATTTATTTATTTTTTAATTAAAATATATTTATTTTCTTAATATTATAATATATAATATATTGTTCTATTTTATTCATCTATTTTAATAATTGTCTAGTTTGACCATCATCCCTGAAAAATTTTATGACAAGTTACGTTAAAACAACTGATGTACCGCATGTCTTAGTTCTTTTTTTTTAAAACATAACAAGGCTGACAAACATGAATCATAAACAATTTAAAAGATATATAAATATATAAAGGCAATCTGAATTGTGAATAGAATTAATATAAACATTTGTTCTATGTAAATGGCAATAAATAAAAGCATTTTTGTAAAATCCGGAAATTTTGCATTTTTAATTTCAATATCTTACCTGGCAAAAAAAAAACATTTTGTTAAATGAACCCCTAATATTTCCATTACCTGTTCTCTGGATGTTATGGATGGTACAATTCCATTGGCCACTTGAATACAGTAAAAAAAATTAATATTTTCTTTCCATGTGATTCATGTTAAAATACCATGATTTGAATATAAGCATTGGAAGAACTATTTCACTGACATAAAAATAAAAACTTTTTCCCTGACTGTTTATATATATATATATTTCTTTTTATATATATATATCTGTTATTGAAAAAAAATATAAGGAATTTAAAATAAATATATTTAAATATATATATAATATATATATAAATATATATAATATATATTATATATATATATATATATATATATATATATATATATATATATATATATATATCTATATATATACTAGCAGTAGAGCCCGGCGTTGCCCGGGGATGTAACAGTTAGAGATAGATCAAGTATCGACCATCATAAAGACTGAAAAATAAAATTGACAAAGATTATTGTTTAAGGTTGACGGACACGCATGTCTTAGTTTTTTTTTTTTTTTTTTTTTACGAATTGGTCAAACCCAAACTCAAACAAAAAATTTGTTTACAATCGTTATGAGTCTATCGATTGATGAATAGAATTTTATTATAA